TTTTCAATTTAATTTTAGGATAATATTTTGAGTGTTCATCCTAATACTTTATCTTTCGAACGAATCTGTTTAAGGGACGTATGCCTTGGTGTTGGTCCAGATCATTAGATTTTTTAAACATCAAATTTGAATGGCTCAGCACAACGTAGAGAAATAACATGAGCATGAGCATGAATAACCACCTCTGTTATTGCCAGACCAGCTGTTATTACACGGAGAACCAATAGACGATGCTTGGGACTAGCAATCAATGTGTAAAAACTGGTGATCTCAAACTAGGCAATTCCAGCGCCAGCCGCGCCTGAACGCAGGTCAAGAAAGAAATGGGTAGGAATGTGTTGACATGACACTCGCTTTGATGGTCCTCTGTACTTCCACAAGGAATCACTGGGATGTTAGGTAAGATGGTTGGGTTTGCAACAGGGTTCGTTTTGGTAAACGATAAGCTGAATTGATGTCCTAACAATCATATAACGCGAAAGAGCTTGGGATTGAACCCACAGTCTTCTGCTCAGTAAGCAAAAACGTTTGCCACTAGGCAGACGAGCTCCTGTTTAATCATCGAGTTGCTGTTATTTCCATGTACTCATGTTAAAAATGTGGATGAATGTGGATGAGCTTGAGATTAAACTCATGCTGTTCTGCTCAGTAAGCAAAAATGGTTGCTCTAAGGCCACCGAGCCCCTCATATCACATTATACCGTTACTCAAGTTGTTTTAACTTTTCAAACCCGGCACCGATGACAACGAAAAGTTTTACAAAATCCACGATAAACAAGCGATCTTACCAAACCTTTTTAATATGAAAGGACCTGGGACCGCGTTTTTCTGCTCAGTAAGCAAGCCACTGCAATCGACGATCTTACAAATCCGAAAACTAAAAGCTTCGAAAGAGTACTTAGGCCTTCATTAAGTTCGACTTTCACGCGACGTTCAATGTTTCGATTTACTCTTTATGCATTGTTCAAGCAATCATAACAAGCTATAACCAGCGTGGCAATTGATTAAGCCCTGGTTAAACAGGCTATTCAAATGAAATTACGTTCTCGAATTTCACTTGGTATGTAATGAACAAAATAAAATACGCAATAATTCAAATAGTTTCAGCGGCTGATGGTTAATTTTAAATGTACTAACGGTACTTCCTACGGTGATTGCGACGGCGCCTACGACGACGACAACAGCGAATTTGTAACTTACCATTTGTCTAGGATATAACACCTTTGTCCGGCACTTGAGCTTCATGTTTGCTATCTATCACTGTTTGCAAAAATATCTCATAGCAATTACCTTTGTTGTAATACTTCCTTCAACGAAAACAATTTATCTTGCATTGCCATGGTCATCTGGGAGGAGGTTCGCGTCTAGTGCTTTCCCCAGGAACTGCTCACTGTCACCAGCTACCGCCTGTCCAGTCTTGGGCGTATCCAGCGAGGCATCTTTCAGCTTGCTCACAATCTCCGATACTGGCGAGAGATCAGCAGACGAGCACTTTTGCGAGCCATAAACTCGTTGATTCACGGCAACTTCGGCCACCAAATCATCACCAAAACTCGCGGCGGACACATTATCAGCACTTCCCCGGCTAATTTACCAACCGGACCATGTTCAAACTCGCACACGGTGACGAGACTCTCGATAGAACTACACGCCGAAAGCGTGACATCCGAACACGGTGAACCGGCCTCCCGGTAAGCAATGAAAATCACAAGCACACTTACACACCGCTGGTTACAAAAAACACACCCGTGCAAAGAAACGGATCCAATAAACGTCACCCTCGCGAAAGCAAACCTGTCGTCTTCGAACGGCAAAACAAAATGAACTCGGTGAGCAATTTTGTGACACGGAATTTCCACTGAAAATCAACCGGGAATGCACGAATTTCAGCACACCCAACTGCGAAACACGTTCAGAAGCACTTTTGATACACTTTCGGTATTAATTTCGGTCGAAAACACTTAATTTTTGCAAAAATAGTTGCGAGCGAACCAACATCAACACCGACCGAGCCGAGCTATTTCACGCACCTCCGTCCAACCATCGTTTTCACTGAATAGATAAACTAATGTATTCCTCATTTCACGGTTCTCAGAATATCTTGAAATGAGTCTCAACCCAAATAACATTGCAACCATAACAGAGGTTTTATAGCATTCTACAAGTCTAAATCATGGTCTACAAAACCCTCATAAACCCAAAGTTGTTACTTGGGAATATCTTACAGTACTAAAGACTGGTACGCGCAAAAATTGGTCAACTTTAAATAGGTGTATTTCTGTTAAAAATGCATAAAAAAACCTGAAATACTGCATTTGGAAGTTGAGTGTATATACAATGGTTTCTATGATGAGTTTTCACCGTTTGCTCTCCAGTTTTCAAAATGACGTCCAAGCAAGAGGAGCAGCGTGTCAAAGTTTTGCTTGCGCAGCAAGAGAATCCAACGTTCTCACACGCCAAGTTGTCAAAATTGCTGGATGTGGCCAAATCGATCGTGACAAACGTTTTAAAAGTGTTCGGGGAGCGTCTGTCGACCACCAGGAAGCCTGGAAGCGGTGGCAATCGAAGAAGGTGGCGGTGAAATATAAGCGGAATCCTAACCTCTCCATCCAGGACGTCGCTGGCAAGTTCAATGTCTCCCATACTACTCATACTACTGTGCAGTGGGCTAAGAAATGAGCCGGGTTGTCGACGTTTAAGAAGGTGAAGGTGGCGAACCGAGATTACAAACAAAACACGTCGGCAAAGCAACGGTCCCAAAAGCTGTATACGAATCTGCACACAAAGTCTGACTGTGTCGTCATGAACGACGAAATTTAAGGAACAGCTTCCGAGACAGGAGTTTTATACCGCATCAGGAAAATGGAAACCATCAAACTTTCGAAGTTCCCGAAAAAATATCTCATCTGGCAGGCCATATGCACGTGTGGTCTAAAAAGCGGCATTTTCATTACTACGGGAACCATCAATCAAGAGATCTACGTCCAGGAGTGCCTGCAAAAGTGGCTGCTACCATTCCTAAAGCAACATAATAAACCTGTGCTGTTCTGTCCGGACTTGGCGAGCTGCCACTATGGGAAAAAGGCAATCGAGTGGTACGATGCGAACAACGTGGTTGTGGTACCCAAAGACCACAACGCTCCCAACAGCCCAGAACTCCACCCTATCGAACGGTATTGATTGGGCCTTGGTCAAACGGAATCTCACAAAAACTAATAAATCCATGGGAAACGAGCAGCAGATTAAATCTAACTGGCCTTCGGCGGCGAATAAGGTCGATGAGATCACTGTGCAAAATTTAATGGAAGGGGTTAAGCAGAAGGCACGCCAGTTCGGATTTGGCAAACCAAAAGAATAAACGAATATTTTTTCCTTTAAATATATGAATTGAACTACCAAAAAAAAAATAAGAAGATTGTTGTGATATGAATTTTGACTGCAAGAAACGATTTTTTTTGTCGACTAATTTTTGCGCGTTCCAGTCTTTAGATAGAGGAAATGGCTCTAATGTTGGCCTATGGATCTAAGATTGCGCCCATCGCTAAAAATCTGCTATTTATCAATTTTATCTAGAACAACGCGTCATTTGGATGGTACTAATGGATATTTTTGGTCGCTTTTGAAAATAGTATGATTTATTTGTCTCTCTATAAAAATTCCCACAGTTACTACTTTTCAGTATGAACATCAAAATATGTTTAATTTTGGCTGCTATTTGAATAAGTATTCCGAATTTATCAGTATACTTTGTGATTCGTGGGCCCAAAATTAGATTTAAGCTTACTTAACTCGAATTGACAGCACTGGTTAACATTAATTTAAATTACTTCAATACGAACGATACCTAGCCCATCAACGTCATAATGTCAATATCATCGAAATTCATTCCATCTCAAATGGCAATTTGCGATCACCGTTGGTTCATATTTTGCCAAAATCAAGCTCACTCTCAAAACCACATGGTCGTCATGGCATATTGCCATAATGTTATTACACATGCCAGAGTTAATAACAATTATTCCGAACGACAAGTGAGCGAGCTGCTAGCTTGCTTCGATGCGTTATTGCACCAAACACCATTATTGCCAAATAATGGCACGCTCAAGCTGATGAGCGCGATGATGGTGATGATATTCGTGGTAGGACTGCCATTCCACCAGAGCATCCCATAGGTAGGTAGTCGGTTGTCCCGGCGCAATTTTACATGAATAGCCTCACGTTGCGCCCACATGCAAAACGGAAGCGACATTGAAAAGAAAAAAAAAGAGAGCTGAAGCACTGTGTTAGTGCACTCGCTAAACGGGTTATCAACCGCGACGACGACGACGACGACGACAACACTGACGCTGACGGCAACGCGAAAACCAGTGCCTGCTACCATCATCATTGCGGAAAACAGTACTGTAGACAGGCTCCAGGTGTGGGGGGGGGGGGTGGTCTCTTTATGACACTTTTGACGGGACACACAATCCACATTCACGCCTGAAGTGGCGGCGTGTGAGCAAACAGAAACAAGAGAAGAGAAAAAAAATGCACAGAAGTGGAGAAAATCACCAGCGGATAGATAGCACTTGAGATTGGCCGTTATATTGCTCTCCGGTGCGAAAGTTGGACGGTGGTCCTTTGTGGGGAGGTGAGAGGACGGGTTGAATGCGGGATTTTAACGAGCTGCATTTCAGCCTGGCATCGGTGGTGTGGTGTAACATTGTGCTCGAAATGGCCATGAGGGAGGGTTGCGCTGCACTAGCTTCATTACGAGATTTACGACTTGCTAGATTACCGAACTTGTTCCGGCTGTTGATGGAAGTTTTTTTCTTAATACTTTGTGGCGTGATTGAAGGGGTGATTTGAAGGGTTTGTAAAAGTTTGAAGTTGGAATGTTTTTCATTAGGAAAAAAAATCTTCAACGGACATCGGGTTTCGACTGTTTATCTATTCTCAAAACCTAATTTAAGTTAACTATTCAATATGAAAAATTCATTTTCTTCTCCTCTCCACAGAATCCCTAGCGCTACGGCTCACGACGGTCCGCATCCCGACGTACAAATTCCGCGGCGAATCAGCCTTGCTCGAATGTCAGTACGAACTGAACGGTCAGCAGTCCCACAGTAGCCACACTCACAATACCAACAACAACATCAACCACTACCAACAGCAGCACCCCCACCAGCAGCGAGGTCGAACGCGAAATGACTCCTCCGGGGGCTCGCGCTATGGCAGTGCCCACCACGATGACTACTACAACGATTCGGAGGGCGAAGAACGTCTCTACTCCATCAAGTGGTACAAAGACAACGAAGAGTTCTACCGGTATGTCCCGTCGGCGGCTCAACCCATCAAAAGCTACAAAATCGACGGCATTCGGGTCGATCCGAACCATTCGGATGGCACGAAAGTCCTGCTGAAACAGCTCACGCTAAAATCGTCCGGCGTGTACCGGTGTGAGATTTCTGCAGAGGCGCCCAACTTCGATTCGGTCCAGGGTGATGGACAAATGGATGTGATACGTAAGTTTGAATGTGAAATTTTCCCCCTAGACCTTCAATTCCTACAGTGTTGAAAGTTTCGCACAGATGTCCCCAAGGATGGTCCCCACATCAACGGAAGCGAGAGGAGGTCCTACCACATAGGCGAAACGATGGAGCTAAACTGCACCTCGGGACGGTCCTATCCGGCTTCGACGCTGCAGTGGTACCTGAACGATAAGGTCGTGACGGACCCCAGCAGCATCGTCCAGTATCCACGGTTGGTCAATCAGCACGGGATGGTGACGAGTTTCCTCGGGCTGAGCATGGTCGTCCACCATCAGCACTACATCGATGGGTTCATGAGGATAAAGTGCGTCGCAAGTCTGTCGCCAGTGCTGTGGCGCAACGGGCAGGAGAGCATTATGCAGTGGGAAAAGCCCTCGATCGATAACCGGGTTGCGATGTTGTTGGGTAAGTTTTTGGCTAATTATTTGCAAAGCTTTAAACACAATAATTAACGATTGGTGAATTCTTGTGGAAATACGAGGAACTGCGGGCTCTGAAATGCTTTTTTTCTAATTTTCATAATGAAGAGTTGAATAATTCATTTAGATTATTCCAGCTCAAGTGATTAGGACACCGGATGTAATTTCTAAAAATCACTCAAATTCAGGGATGTAGTTTAGAGCAATTAGTTTAGAGCAAAACCGTAAAAGGGGTATTCGCAGAATATCAAAACGAAACGAAAACGGTGACATAGGCCACAACTTTCTAGAACTTTGTATATATGAATGATTTTATACATGTGCTTCATTTATGAATTTTGTCAAACATCAACTTAATACTTTCATTTTGGGTAAACACATATTTACACCATATGTGAACCCATAAACTAAATGCGTGACCATGTATTTATTTGACAAATGATATTCATTAACTTTCTATTATAAATAATCAATAATAGAAATTTGCAAAAACAGTCACTCTAGGGCCACTGAGCCACTTATATTACCTCACACTGACGAGCAAGTAATTTGGCTCTAAAATTATTTGCTGGGATTAAAACCACGATTTTCTACTCAGTTAGTAAAACCGACCATTAACTTAATCCTCTCAACAGCAGGTAGAATTATCTTTCTCGGAATGGTCACAGTATCAAAACGCATCGTTTATTTTAATACACAAACTCACAATCACTACAATTTATTTGGCTTATCAAATTAAACTACACGATTATACAAAGGAACACGAATCTTCTGCGGTTACCGCGAATGTATGAATAAATGACCAGTGTTCTGTCCGATGACCTGTTCGTGACTAAAAACAGACAGACAGACAGACAGACAGACAGACAGACAGACAGACAGACAGACAGACAGACAGACAGACAGACAGACAGACAGACAGACAGACAGACAGACAGACAGACAGACAGACAGACAGACAGACAGACAGACAGACAGACAGACAGACAGACAGACAGACAGACAGACAGACAGACAGACAGACAGACAGACAGACAGACAGACAGACAGACAGACAGACAGACAGACAGACAGACAGACAGACAGACAGACAGACAGACAGACAGACAGACAGACAGACAGACAGACAGACAGACAGACAGACAGACAGACAGACAGACAGACAGACAGACAGACAGACAGACAGACAGACAGACAGACAGACAGACAGACAGACAGACAGACAGACAGACAGACAGACAGACAGACAGACAGACAGACAGACAGACAGACAGACAGACAGACAGACAGACAGACAGACAGACAGACAGACAGACAGACAGACAGACAGACAGACAGACAGACAGACAGACAGACAGACAGACAGACAGACAGAAGATAGAAGATAGAAGATAGAAGATAGAAGATAGAAGATAGAAGATAGAAGATAGAAGATAGAAGATAGAAGATAGAAGATAGAAGATAGAAGATAGAAGATAGAAGATAGAAGATAGAAGATAGAAGATAGAAGATAGAAGATAGAAGATAGAAGATAGAAGATAGAAGATAGAAGATAGAAGATAGAAGATAGAAGATAGAAGATAGAAGATAGAAGATAGAAGATAGAAGATAGAAGATAGAAGATAGAAGATAGAAGATAGAAGATAGAAGATAGAAGATAGAAGATAGAAGATAGAAGATAGAAGATAGAAGATAGAAGATAGAAGATAGAAGATAGAAGATAGAAGATAGAAGATAGAAGATAGAAGATAGAAGATAGAAGATAGAAGATAGAAGATAGAAGATAGAAGATAGAAGATAGAAGATAGAAGATAGAAGATAGAAGATAGAAGATAGAAGATAGAAGATAGAAGATAGAAGATAGAAGATAGAAGATAGAAGATAGAAGATAGAAGATAGAAGATAGAAGATAGAAGATAGAAGATAGAAGATAGAAGATAGAAGATAGAAGATAGAAGATAGAAGATAGAAGATAGAAGATAGAAGATAGAAGATAGAAGATAGAAGATAGAAGATAGAAGATAGAAGATAGAAGATAGAAGATAGAAGATAGAAGATAGAAGATAGAAGATAGAAGATAGAAGATAGAAGATAGAAGATAGAAGATAGAAGATAGAAGATAGAAGATAGAAGATAGAAGATAGAAGATAGAAGATAGAAGATAGAAGATAGAAGATAGAAGATAGAAGATAGAAGATAGAAGATAGAAGATAGAAGATAGAAGATAGAAGATAGAAGATAGAAGATAGAAGATAGAAGATAGAAGATAGAAGATAGAAGATAGAAGATAGAAGATAGAAGATAGAAGATAGAAGATAGAAGATAGAAGATAGAAGATAGAAGATAGAAGATAGATAGATAGATTAGTCGTTGGGAGCATCTAGTCTAAAAATGTTAGGGATGGTCCATTAGACTGATGCAAAATTTGACTTTTTGACTTTTTCGCTCCACAGTGCTTAAATGGTTTCAAATCGGGTCCTGATTAGCCTCTCAAAGTTACAACTCATTTGGTTAGAAACAGACTTCGCACAAGCCATTTGATGTTTACATGTAAATTACTATGGGAAATCTAAACTTTTTGTTCATTGCCTTCTAGTCTTTTTCCGTATTGAGCTGCGAAACAGTTTGATAGCCATTCTTATAGAAAATTTTCTCAGTTACAACTTTGCTGAAGATTGTTTGTATGTAAAACGAGACAGGAAAAAGTTATTAATTATTTAAGAGATTGGTAAACTTATGATATGATTAAGCAGCTGCTCTGTAGGCAACACTGTATTTTGCAGTGTGACATAGTAGCCATGATTTTTGTGTCCTATTCATCGCCCCAGAAACACCAATGTTGCCTGCTGATCAGTTGATTGAGCATGATCATAAGACATCAGCGCATTTAACAATTGATAACTTTCGATCCTTGGATTTAATCAAAAAATGGTCTTGAGCAAAGTTGTAGCTGGGAAAATTTCCTACAAGTACAGTTGAAAGTTTTTGAAGCAAACCGATATGGTGAATTATTAGATAGACATGAACAAAAATCTTGGTTTTACCATAGTAATTCCCATACAAACTTCAAATGGTTTGTGCCATCTCAGTTTCTCACCAAATGGGTTCAAATTTTGAGAGGTTAGTCAGGATCAGATTTGGAACCGTTTAAGTATTGTGGAGCAAAAATTTCAAATTTTGCATCACTCTAATGGTCCATCTTCCTTTAGTGGTTCGGACATTAGCACTAACTCTTGTTCTAGCCCCATACTTGGCATACACAGTTTTGGTCACGAGCTGCTCATTTGCTAATAACTTTACACAGATTTGACGAAACAAAGTTATTTTTAAAGCAGTAGATAGAATAGAGTTTAAGCTTGTTATAGATACATAAAACAAAGTAGATTTTAATTCTAGTAATAAACTGTATTTGTTTTTGCGTTGTAAAAATGAAGTGAGAAATGCTCGCTGCACATCTCGGACTTTAAGAGTAAAAATTCATTGTTGTTGATACAAATGTTAAGATTTATCTATTTTTTGCATATCCATAGTGAGCTTTGATCCTAATCTATGAATTACTTTAAAGAAAAACAAATTTCAGCAACTGAGTAAAAAGATATTGACACATGAGCAGTTGGTGTGTACAACTGTGCATGCCAAGCATGCCTAGCCCTATATGGCCTATGGTTACAGCGCCATTTCTCGCTTTCTAAAAAGAGGTGAAGGAAATGGAAAAAAGGGAAAAGAAGCTAGTTTTGTGGGCATCCTTAAGAGGAATTTTTATTTTCCTAAAAATACCGGGAAAAAACATAAAAATCCAAGAAAATCAGTTCCGTCCTCAGATACCTGAGAAAATTTACATGCAAAAACATGTTTTCCGTCGCATCATTAAGAAATAAGACACTCAGTAAAACCGAAAAGTCGATGTTTCGTGTTTTTTTTTAGTCCTGCTTTAAGCCATGATGACTAGAAAACTTTTTTGCACATGAATCCTCCTTAAAAGTTCAGAAAAAATGTGATATCTTTAGATTTCTGTTATCTTTCTACAATACCTTTGCAAAAATCAATACGTAATTATCTTTTTCGGAGCCGTGAACTCCCCCTTAACTGGATAACTGTGTGTGTGAGTTTGTGTCTTCACGCCAGCTGATCAGAGTTCAACAGTGGAAATAAGGAAAAATTCAAGTCTGCATTATCGATCGATTGTCATTAACACCAACAATGTCTAGAACTCAACACACAACTTGTTGCCATATATAAATTGAAATTGTTCGCAAAATAATATAAAATATGAAATGATCTCACCGATCTTTCAAAATTGACATGATCCAAATCGCAGAGTTTTCGTTTTGTAAGCAGCAGAAACAGAAGAGCAGCAACTCCTTCTTTTTAAGCTCGGAAACATAAATACACCGGAACTGCTGCTGGTTTCCGAATCTTCAGCATTCAGCTGCTCCGAAATATCAGAGGTAACCAAAATCGTAAAAGTACCACTACACTTCACAGCCCGTAAATTTTACTCTTGAACCGCGCACTAGAAAATACAAATCTCACGACGGAACCGAAAATAACGGAAAACCCGAATCACAGCTCACACGACTGGAATTCCGTTAAAAATACTTATGGAAACAGTCTTCAATTTTTATACTCACGCACTTTCTAGAAAAATCTTATCAAGCGCCTTCAACCTAAAATCGAAAAGAAACGAGACGAAAAATATGACAACTGACAAATTTTCGCGCCCGTTTAGAAGCAGGGCATACTTCGATCACCTTCCCAAGAAGAGATGAATTGTTCCCAAGAAGAGATGAATTGTATATACCTAAACCGGCTCGATTCCTTATCCCCATCATTGGATGGTATATAATGTATGGTCTAGACTGTAGACAATAGCCCAAACGTAAACAAATCTGCCCGGCGGATGCACGGACAGGCTATTGTACTGCTCAGCTGTAATAGATGAAGGCCAGGGTTGTAGTTGACTGGGTTTCTGGATTCCGAACACTCTCACCCACCCTGAAATTGTTGCATTTTCTGAAAGAAAAGAAAGAAGTTTCCTCTACGAAGGGAAAGGATGAGATCAGGATTGGGGGGTGTTCGTCGGTTGAGCATCATAATTGATCAACTGATGAGTGCCTTCTGTCCAGGCGAGGAAGCAGACAGATCCTTTCTACTGGTCGCATGAGGAACCCATCTTTCGTTTTTAACGTTACAACTCTTACGACTCCGTCTTCACCTGGATGGGTCTCCGTAATTCGCCCCATTTTCCACCGTGTTGCGGGTAAGTTCTTGTCTCAAACTACCACCAATCTGCCGACCTCGAATGATTTCGCAGGACCCAAGCGTTTAGTGCGTCCTTGGAGTTGGCACAAATACACCTTACGCCATCTGTTCCAAAATCCTTGGAACTTCTGCTGCAGTTGTTGATAGCGGTTAAGTCGGTTTGTAGGTACATTCAACCAATCAGGTCCAGGTAGATCGTGGAGTGATGAACCTATCAAGAAATGACTCTTTCGTTAATAACTCGGCTCCATGTTCAGCTGTTCTTATCATCCACTACGCTTAATAATACTTTCTTTAAGCAGACTATGTTGACAAAATAGCCCTAAATAAGAATGCAGTCAAGTTATTAACGAAAATCGAAAGTCGATGAAGAGAATCGATCAATGTAGATTGGTATATTTGAAAAGTGACAAGAGAATTCAGTCCGTACATTTTCAACGATCATTTCAAATCCTACAATCCATAATGCCTTTCCTTCCGGTGCCAATAAACTGACATTTTGAACACACATAAACAATCGAAAGGATCAAAATCACATTATAACTCAATTCTTCCCTCGAAGTCTTTGCAAACAATGTTAAACCAAAACTATCCGTTCATCCACCGGCATCATAGCCGTCGTCGTTGACATGTTGGCAGTAAATTGATTTTCTAAAACTAATCTTTCTCTCACATCCTTGGTTTCTCCTTTCTGACACAGTGAAAAGCAGCTCCTCCCGATGGTTGGTCAGCATGACGTTGCTACTTTGTTCCACCCTGTTTGCCAGGACCACCACCATCAGTTCCTTCCGGTTGCAGCCGTAGCTACTGGTACCACTTCTCCCACCACTGGGGCTGCTGTCACCAACTTAAATGGCATCATCACCATCAACCATCGCCGTTGTCCCGAAGGGCCGGTCCTGCTTGGCCAGTGTCGAGTGGATGGAAGTGAAGTTTTTTGAAATTAAAGTAAAACTTACGGAAACTTCGAGACTCGCCTGGCCACTCCGATTGCGTTTCACTTCACCGACGACAGACCGGGAAAGATGATCATGAGGATGGCAACTGGAGAAGAAGAAGAAAACTATATCAAAAGTAGTGAGCTAAGTTGAGCGAGAATCGAGAAAAGGACACACTTGAGAAAAGTATAAATATTATATTTACGATCTATAGGAGGACAAGAGAGCCATGGTAGCGCAACGTGATTTACTTGATAGCGTTTATGGCCAGGTGCGGGGTGCCGGTGGGGTGGAGAAGGCCGAAGGACCCGAAGAACGAAAGAAAATAGCTTTTTCTAAGTTTAGTTTTCCTATTAAGTTTTTGTTTCGTATTAATTCCTGTACAGAGAGTAAGGTGTGCGGAAGGAGAGCTAAAGAATATCACGAGCACTGTACATAGTGAGGCAAAGGAAACCCGTAATATGGTACCACATAGTAAATAGGCAAAGAGTTGAGCAAGATCAACAGAGTGATTGTAAATTTAATAATTTTGTACATAAAAGTTAGCTGGGAATAATTACTAGAATAAAATTTCCGCTTGAACCCATAAATAAGATCGGTTGAAGAAAAGGGAAAAGTTTTCTTGCCGGGAAAGCAGTCCGAAAAATCCCCGTCCCCATTGGTCCGGAATATATTTGAATGTTGCCCCTTTTGCTTTCATCTACATGCTGAGACAACGAATGTTATTCAATCAACATAAGGAGCACGTTGTAGGAAACGAGCCAGCTTGCTTAGGCGGCCTACACATAATTAATCATATTGTCGAGCAGTTTTGGGATGACCTTCTAACAGTGATTTTAAGAGAACGACGCAATAAACTCTAGATGAGAAGCTGAGAATAAATAAGACCCGATTTTCTCAATTTTTTTTTTCCTTGATTTATTTTCCGTCGATTTTGTGCTGAGCACCAATGCTACCGACGCCAGGGAGGCAGCTGCCACACCTGGACCCTACCTATCGACCCATCAATTCATGAACCGGGGACCAACGGCTTTACTTCCCATCCGAAGGAAGGTGTGATCAGAGATGTTATGCCTCAGAATATCCCAGCGGCGCCGACTGGGATTGAACCCAGGCCTGTTAGGGTGAGAGGTAATCACGCTTACCACTACAACACCGGCGCCGCTATGATTTTCTCAATGTTCTAGAAGAAACATTATCAAAATATTATTCCACGGCACTGCTCGAATGATGTGATCTATTGGTGAGCTTGAATGGAATAAATCAACCGAAAAAAAAGGAAAACGGTTCACTAGATGTTTGCAGTGTTTATTACAAGTTATTTTTGATTTGAATGAAAATTATCATCATGAGTTTCCAAAGTACCTCGAATATACATAGTCTTTCCGTTTTTAAGTTGCGTTACAATCCACTGATCTTTTCGGTTTGGCAATTAAAACTTTGTTTATTTCCCGTGTCTCATTTGAAAAGTGGAGAACAACCAGTTTTTCGCATCTGAATCGGAGTCAGCGCTACACACGCCATCGTGACCGTTAGCACCACCCAACAGTGCAATTGTTCGTTTAGTTCAGAGTTTGTTTATCGTTTCGGAAGCTACGACGGAAATCGAAAGCAGAAATGGAGAAAAATACAATGCGGCACCTGCTAATTAACCACTTTGTCAAGCAGTTTTGGCGTGACTTTCTACCAGCGATTTCACAAACCTGGACCAAATAATTTATATTTTTTATGAAACGCACAAATGTTGGCTACTTTTCTCAAGGTTCTAGAAGAAAAAATCTCAAAATAATGTTTTATTTCAAAGTTCGAGTGGTAGTAAACGCCATTTTAAGTGCTCGAATAAAATGGTTAATTGGATATCAATGATATGGAGCCAGTGTTTTGTGGTTTCTGTAAAGCTTTCTTCCACATTAGCCAGCATCAATACATTGTGGTATCAATCTGTGCGCTTGCAAACTCAGACGAAGAAGTATCCGCGCCTATGTAGCTGATCTGGACTCTTCCAAATCGTCAAACATCAACAGCCTTGCTTCACAATAGCAGCAATTATCCGGCATGGTTAAGGTATTGAGCAAGAAAGTTGACAACATTTCATCTGCACCGACACAAAACAATTGTCCTGCTGCCTCGCTTATGTTCACCGTATCAAATGAGAACAGGACTCCAGTTTGTTAACTCCAAATGGAAAAGTGCTGTGATCCCAACGAATGTCTACTACAGCGTCAGTTGTTTGCCAAGCATTTTACATCGATGAAGCTGATTTTGTTGAGCTTGGACTATATGCTGTAAATCCAGAAATGGTCTCATTGTCTGCAAATAAGCTGAAACGTTCGTATGTCCCTGGCCCTGAAGGTGTACCTGCAGTTATAATATGTCGTTGTGTTGCCGCTTTAGCGCAACCGTTTTGTGATATCTTCAATCGCTCACTTCAGCAAGCAAAATTCCCTCGCATTTGGATGCAATCGTTTATGACACCCATTTTCAAACGTGGCGATCGTCACAATGTTGTTAACTATCGGGGAATCCCGAATCTCTCAGCTGGCTCGAAATTGTAAGAGATTATAGCGGGTTGAGTTATGCTCGATGCCACAAAAAGCTACATCTCCACTGATCAACACGGATTCATGCCCGGACGATCGGCTACCACCAACTTGTTGAAGTTTACGTCGAATTGCACAACGAGTATGGAGGAAAAAGCGCAAGTCGATGTAATTTATACCGACCTGAAGGCGGCGTTCGATAAAATTGACATACTGCTACACAAGTTTTCTCATCTTGGAGTTTCTATGCAATTGATTTTTGTTTGGAATCCTACCTTACAGAGCGTGTACTTATAGTGAAGATTGAGGGATGTGTATCTTCGCCGTTTTCAAACAAGTCTGGAGATCCAAAAGGTAGCAATCTCAGACCGTTGCTGCTTTGGTTCTGTGCTAAGGATTCAAACTGATCTATGCAGATGATTTAAAGCTATACATTGTGGTGTATTGTTGGCTTCCGCAAAACTCGCTTAATTTGTTTGCCAATTGGTGCCACATTGTTTGACTATGATATCGACGGCGATACTCTTACTAGAGTTACCAGTCCTGAGTAGGAACGAAATCTCGATACCTTAAATTGGTATGGATGAGCCTGACATAAGAGGTAAATTACCAAAAAATAATACCAAAAAAATGTTCCCACAATACCATTCCAATACCAAATTATGATAGTGCAATACCAAAACAATACCACTCAGGTATCCAAATATCAATTTTTGTTATTAGGAAAGTATTTTGCATGTAATTTTTTTGATATTATTCTTTGGTATTTTACCTCTTATGTCATGCTGATTAATACCAAATTTGGGATTTTTCGGACCCACAATGTTGGAAAATGCGTCCGTCGTTTGACATCCTCACCATGTCACGTGGTGCCTAAGGATCGAACGGGTACAGAAACGGTTAATTCGTCTGGCACTGAGCAATTTGCCGCCGTATCCTGATAGATGCTGACTGTTGGGTTTAGACACACTGGAACGGCGACGGAAAGTACAGCAATCGTTGCTCGTTGCTAAGCTGTTGAATGGTGAAACTGATGCCCCCGATCTGCTTGCAATGTTGAACTTTCGTGTGCCGAGCAAATCTCTTCGGAATACAACGTTATTGCAAGCAAGTTTTCACCGAACCATGTTTGAGAACAACGAACCAATCTCAGGGTGTGTTCATGCGTTTACGGCTGTCAAAGAGTTTTTCGAGTTCAATAATCCAACTGGACGTTTTGCAAATCTGATTAGGTCTGTGTTAAATTAACTTTAATTTTATTCATGAAGACTAAATTTTTTTTTTATATATTTACTTTATTTGTACAGGCTCAATCGAATAAACTTTACAGAGCCGAGTTATCCTTTGCGTTATACATTATTACTGTCTTAAATTTAAAGTTAAAGGAACTGGACCGAGTACTCGCGGTTGTCTCGAGGTTAGTGGAGATTTACAATTTTTTGGATGGGAAAAGGGAAGAAGGAGGTTTGAAATGTGGTTTACGATACAACTATTTAATTAATCCTAAAGCATGAAATTATTTCTATTCATCTTGAAAACAAACATTGAAAAAAAACCCACACGTACAAAATACAAACTAAACACAAGGTTAATCAAACTAACAATCTAAGGTTAATATCCTTAAAGTAAACATATATGAGTTTCATGAACTCCAGATCGCGTCTAGCCAAAATATCCCGAACTGGAACATTAGGTTGTCTACCTCGAGCCCGAAGGGAATCATAAAAATGTGATCTGACTCCACGATACACCGCACAAGACCAAAGGATGTGATCAGCGTCCTGGTAACCTTGTCCACATTCACAGAGATTGCTGTCTCCCAACCCCACACGGAACAAGTGAGCGTTTAGACAATAGTGATTGGACATGAGACGAGACATCACGCGTATGAAGTCTCGACTCAAGTCCAACCCTTTGAACCATGCAAACTTCGACACCTTAGGGATAATTGAATGTAGCCATCGTCCCAAGCTCCCTTCACTCCATTGATGTTGCCAGCTAACGAGCGACTGCTGACGATAAATAGAGAAAAATTCACTATAGGCGATCTGTCGATCATAAATGTCGCCTTCCATAGCGCCCACCTTCGCAAGTGAATCCGCCTTCTCATTGCCCAAAATTGAGCAATGCGAAGGGACCCACGCGAAGGTGATGATGAAAGAGCGCACGGATAAAGTACTAAGCAGTTCTCGTATTTTCAAGAGAAAATACGAGAAGTGCTTTACCGGCCTAATGGAACGGATAGCCTCGACAGAACTGAGACTATCCGTAAAAATAAAGTAGTGGTCTGGAAGAAGTGAAGCAATAGTTTCCAAAGTGTAGTGAATTGCTGCCAGTTCAGCCACATACACAGAACAAGGAGCTTCAAGTTTTCGAGAGGCGCTATGAAATTCATTAAATACACCAAAACCAGCGGACTCCTCTATTAGAGATCCATCTGTGAAAAACGTTCTTGCAGAATCAACATGGCCAAACTTTGCAGCGTATAATGACGGAGCAATCATAGGACGATGATGCTCTGGAATTCCGCGGATTTCCTGCGTCATAGATAAATCAAAATTCACTGAATTGCCGAAATCGGAGAAGATTACACGATTGGGAATATTTCTTGAAGGGCTGACATCCTGTGTTAAATATAGGTAGTACAAAGTCATAAAACATGTTTGAGGATTTAGCTCCAGAAGCTTCTCAAAATTTTCGATCACCAGTGGGTTCATTACTTCGCAACGGGTGAGGAGCCTCAGAGATAACTCTGAAAAATGAAGACTAAATTGTCAGATGCATTATTTTAAATACAAATTCGATTACCAATTCATCTACTCATAAAAATATGACCAAATAGCTCTAACAAATAATAACAAAGCCTTATGGTCACCGAAGAATCGGTTCCTGATACCCCGAATTATGGTCAAATTTGTTATATAAGGTGCAAATATTTTAAGGAGTGATTGAAGATCATATTTGATGAAAAAAAATTGCCTACGCATATCAGGCAGAACATTTGATAACGGCACAAAAGCATTTGTAAACAAACTTTCTAAGGCTCTCTACAC